GCAGCAGGTAACGCAGCAGTTTGTGTTGCCCTCGCAGCCCAAAAAGGAAAAGAAGGAGAGGGTAGAGAGGGAGAAGAGCGACAGAGAGCCGGCGCTCAAGAAGAACAGTCACAAGAAGATGAGGTAAACAAGCTGACACGAGGTGGAGGGATCAACAGGAATCAGACATTACAGGGATGCATGAATAAACACTGGAAACTATAGATGGTGTTTATGTTTGCACCTGACGTTAGGGTGATGCCTTGTCATATTTCATAAAATACTTCAAAAGATAGAAGTGAAGAGGGTGAGAAACACCTGAAATAAATTTCAAAGTAGTGTCTGGAGGAGGCTCTTTGGAGTTTTCAGTGACATTGTAGCAAAAAGATCAAGGTGATTTTCACTCCTGGGTAAAATCGAATCAAAAGATAGTATTTTGCACTTCTTAACACAAGTGCAAAGGCTGGTTAATACAAAACCCCATGCAGGGTTTGAAACAAATAGTCTTAAAAAAAACTTTCTCAGCTCTCCTTGTGCGTTCTCTCACTTTCCCCAAACATTTCCGCTCACTCACCAGGCCGAGATTAAAAAACATCGACCGGAGCAGCGCCCAGCACCTGGAGGTGACGGTCGGGGACCTGACAGTCATCATAACGGACTTTAAGGAGAAGGCCAAGCCCACGTCCACCTCGGCTACGTCGTCCAGCACCGCGTCCACGGCCGACCACCACAGCCAGAACGGCTCCAGCTCGGAAAACACAGAGAAGGGGCTCTCCCGCTCCTCCTCGCCCAGAGGAGAGGGGAGCTCGGTCAACGGGGAATCCCACTGAGTCACCCCTTCAAAACCTCCCCCCCCTCCCTAAACTACCCCGGTCTCCACCCACATCTCATTTGCAAGTTCACGTCACCAGTGGAGAATCCTGCGTCTACAGCTGCACAATACTGACTAAAACTTTTTTTTTTTTGCTTTTCTTTCTCAATAGGAATTTGTGACCAATTTGTCAGAGTTGCCAACACATTAGACGAGTTTAATCAGTTCAAGATTCTCCACAGCACTGGAATCCTGCGTTTAGAAAGCAATATGAAACACCTCTTGCTCCATCTTTGAAGTTCTTAGTGATCTACATTTCCACTTGGACATTTTGGTGTAATCGAAAGGATCCCCACACGCTGTCCGAAGCTCACTACTAGAATATTTACTAAGACATTCTGACAAGGAACTTCTTCAGGACTGACCTGAGATATGTCTGGGTAAATGTTTGGTCAGGCTTTATGATTTCCTTCAGATGCACCAGCCAGTCATGGGTTTTTTTTTTCCTTCCTCCATATATATATATATTTTTGTTCAATGAGATGTGCAGCCCCACCTTTCATCGTCTGTGGCCGGCAGAGTGACTTCTTCCCCCCCTCATGTGGAATTTTCAGCCTCTGTCTGGAATCTTTACCTACCTGTTATAAACCCAAACCATCTATTACACACTCTCAGTGTCCCTACACTGACCCTTCAACCTCACAGCGAACCTTTGCTCCTGATCTTGATACTCAAAGCTTTTACTTCGGGATTGCCTCTGCTGTAGAGAGACTTTTTTGACACAGCATAGCAGCTGTACTGCTACTGGCACCGTGTGGTGTTGGTGCGTAATGTTTGGAGCAGGTTGTTCAGGTAATGCTTGTTACGTCCGCGTGAAGGCACCAGCAGGTTTTGATAAAAGCCCTCTCTTAAACTGTGCAGGAAGGTATAGTATATGATTTTAAAAGGATAATACCGGTGTTTTTGTGTTTTCAGTTTGTGCCAATAATCAACGCTACTCCTCTTTTACATTATTCGTTATTTGTCTGCACACAATCAGTCGAGTTAGACATACATCAAGGTCTTTTTCTGTCTTTGTAACCATTTGTTTTGTACCGTACATAAACAAAAAAAACACAAACCTGCATTAAGTGATATTTTTGGCAGAATCAACTTGATTTGTGTTATGCGAAAAGCTGAACGTATAGAGAATTAGCAGCTCTCCAGCTATATGCAACTTCTAGCTCATTGCTTTGGTTCTCTGAACCTCGCATACATCATCCATGTCCAGCAAAATGGCTCAGACAAGCTGTTTGTTACACTGCCTGGCCAGCATGAAATGGCAGAAGACTGAAATTAGCTTGTAGCTGGTAAAGAAAGTCTTCAGCACTACTTGCCAAGTACAGACCAAACTAGAGCTAAACCAGATGCTTATGTTGGTGTATGTCTGCTCGATATGCAAGTAGGCAATGGATTGCTAACGCATTAGCCGTAACAGCTAAAATCTGTCTCTCAGGGCTTTGAGTTGATTTTGCAGTCTTGCTGTACACTGTTGCTAAAAAAAAAAAAAACAACACTTAATGCAGCTTTAAGAATTACCCAAACTCTGTTTTTAAATTACAGTCAGTGTGAAATCATACTTCCTCCATCAAATTGTAAATACATGATGTTAACACAACATGTTACCAATTTACTGACATCCTTCATGATGATATTGCACCATGGTTACTGTCAATCACACGACTCCCACAGAGTGATGTACATCCACGCAAATACAGTAAGAATTCTTGGAAAACTCCCTATTTCATCATGTTTCTACTTTTATTTTGCGTGCTTTTATTTTCTCAACCAAGAGCTCATTACAAGCCAGGTTTATGAATTTGTTTCAGAGACGCAAAAAGAACAGATGATCGCACAATGACTCAAGGATTGTCGACTTTAATGTAGGAGGTAATCCAAGGGGCTGTAGCTGTAAATGACACCGGTATTCTCCTTTTTAATCTGCGCTGCACAAACGGGGCTGCACCTGCTCAGTGTCACAATGGGGGAAAACCAGAGGGCGCTCATGCTGTTCTGCCCCCCACAGTGGACCCAGTTTGGATACAGCGCCGTGCTCGTAGAAGACAAGAAAAAAAATAAAGAGCTCCGGCTTGTGGACGTGCACATTTATCAGCTGTATAGGTGATGGCGTGATGGACTTCAGAAACTGTTTAAATTCCTCCATTTTGATGTAGCAAAGTGGGGGAGCTTTAGAATCTACTAAACTCCCAGCAGAACAACTATAGATCAACCTAACTACACAATAACTTATAAAAACCTGTAGAATACTACACAGATAAAAGTTGATATTTCTAAAATATTGTACTACAATGTTTTGATGTGGTTGTATTATCCATCATACCAGTGTTCTTGTCAAGATTTTTTCCTTTAACATTTTAGCACAGATCCTGAGAACTGTCATGGCATGATAATATTATGGTCTCAGTATATTGTGGGACAGGCTATGTCTCTTAGTTTGTTAGCATCGTTTAATGTGTCAGAGACGTATTTTCCCTCATAGGTTGACCACACTAGCTGGGACTAGGTGCGTGGACTCGTGAGAACTGTTCCAACAGACATTTGTTATTTGGTTGTGGCAAAAATGGAAAGACACTTAAAAATATGTCGGTGTCACATGTTGATATTTTCTGTTTCGTTTTTTTTTTTTTTTTTTTTTTTGCTTTGCCATGCTCAATTTGTTTTAAAAATGTGTGAACTTGTTTATTACATGTCTGAATAAGAAAATAACAAAATTCTAAACAAAAAAGGATTTATCTCGTGCACACAGTTTTACTTTTTGTCCCTTTCTGTTTCATAACAGGTGTTTACACTTTTGTATTTTCACTGGTTTGTATTTTATTTGTGCTTTTTTTTTTTTTTTAGCTCCATCTGATGAACGGCTTAATAACTGTTGCTCATGTTCAACACAGTACATGCAGGATCAGTTTACTTAACTAATGGGTTAGTTATGAGCATAAAAAGGTGTGGTTTACACACTAATGAATTAACCATTACATCCGTCAATAACCTAATTTTCCTCACACTTAATGAAAATGCAGTGGAGCCACCTCAATAAAGACGACTAGTCACTTAAAGCCATGAATGGGTCTTTTCAGAGGGGAAATCAATTGAAAGTTGCTGCAGACGGAGCCTGCAGGGGAGGGAGGGACAGGAGGGGGAGCAACCTGGCTTATCGCTCCCACCCTTCCCCCCATTTAGGGTCCCGACCTCCTGCTTCTTTTTCATGATGCGTATCAAGCGGAGGGGAGAGACTGCAGAGGAGACGCGGAAGAGTGTCATCGCCTTCAAAATAAAAGCATACAATGTGCTTAAAGAAAGGGTTAAAATAAGCATCAAAAGTTCTGATGAAAATATTTCAAGATGCGAGTTAGATATCAAGAGTATATTCTCTATTATATAATCGAAATTGTTGAAATTGTTGGAAATAGGCTTAGAGAATTGTCTTAGCAGATGGTTTCTCCTTACCTCACATTATAGTCATCAAGAAACTAAGTGATCTTTTTTTTGATGATTTAAAAACAATAAGTTATTCTAAATTCTAAAGTAATTCTACCAGAAATACCTATAATGACATTCTGTAATCACAATAATTACAGACCCTGGGTCAGTCTAACTGAGCATGGTCATTGTGGATAGAAAATGTACCTTTCAAAAACAATTCTGTTGATTTTTAATGATATATACATGCATACAAATAATAAAATGAGCAGAAAGGCATAGACAATATACTGCAAGGTAAAATAAAATATAAAAAATTGATGAGTGTGACATCTGTGGAACTGTTTTCCACTCTTAAAATGTTTTAGTGCATTTACATTGTTGCACAGTATTGTATTGCAGTAAGAGAAGAGCTCAGTTTATGTGTAATCTAGACTCCGAGCTACTGCAATATTTTTTTTCCAGAAGTTGACAAGTATGTGCATTATGTGCGCGTTGCATAGCTTTAACGTGGCCACTAGATGGCGCCTTTGCAACGCCTGATAAAAGTTTTATTTTCTAAACGTTGGCCGGAAGTGCGTTACCATAGCGTCGGGCTTCACAGTTATTATTAAACGCTAGTTTCTGTGTCATGACTTTAGCTCCGAGTTGCGTTTTCAAACTCCAAAATGCGGCGTTACATTCGTGCACTACTGCTGTGCACAGTGTTTGCCGTGTTTTCGGGCTTGTACGTTTACAGTAAGCTGCTTTACTCGGACGTACCGGTCGGAGTAAACGGACCGAAGAGGGGTTTCATCCAACCGAGAGTCCCCGGAGGCAGGCGAGGGGCCGCGGACAAAACTGGGCCCCAAAGCCCACACTGGTACAATAGGTAAGGCTGGGTTTTTTCCAGGTCTTTCCTGCTTTAACGGGGTGCAACCGAGGAGAAAATACACATTTAATACGATTCGTGTGGGTATAGATGGAGAAAAATGTGTAACGTTACTCTTTACGACACTTGTGATGTATAGGAATGCGACGCTGATTGAACGGCCCAATGCAAACAAAGTAATACTTCATGCAGTCCGCTAACCTTACATCTCTCCATGGTTACACAGTAGTGACGCGAGACTTGGACAGGTGTGTGAGTGCACGTGCAGCCCTCCGGTTGGCATCCGATATTGATTGATACGTCACTAAAGTTATTAGGTACAGTTGTCATACAGAGGATAGCCTGCAACAGTACGTCTCCCACAGCCAGAGCCAGCCTTACATCTGGGCAAATTAGAGAGAAACCTGGGGGGGGGGATTAAATCTATATATATTACATCATGTGAAGTGACTCCAGTCAGATGGATTCAATGTTTAATGCTAGTTCAGCTTTGTTTGTTTTCACGCCTGACTGTCAGATCTTAGTGTTTGAGGAGAGGAACAGATGTAAGGCACATTGTAAATGGCCATCATGGCTGCAGGCTAGACTTGATCCAGTGAGTCAAGATACAATCCATAGGGTATACTATTGCATAATAAACATATCAAAGGTCAGAAAATTGCTTTTAAACATTCCATTAAGTGATATCCTAGATAGATAGATAGATAGATAGATAGATAGATAGATAGATAGATAGATAGTTTATTTATCCCGAGGGAAATTCAAGCATCCACTAGCAGCATACAAACATCAATTAGACATACATTAAACATATATTAAAATTAAACCTATAGCACAGTAGCCATACATTAAATTGGATAGATTCAACTTTTGCAGATGAATGAAATATGTGCCGAGAGAGAAAACAAACTAGAAAAATAGAAATGAGAGAGTCCAGCTCTGTGCCCACCACTGAGCCACATCCTCTCCAGTCTGTCCAGTCGAGCGGCGTCTCTCTTCTTGCTGCTTCCTCCCCAGCAAACCACAGCATAGAAAAGGACGCTGGCAACCACAGACTGGTAAAACATCTGCAGCAGTTTTTTTTACAGATGTTGAAGGACCCCAGCCTTCTCAGGAAGTACAGACGGCTCTGCACTTTCCTGTAGAGAGTGTCCATGTTTGCTGTCCAGTCCAGCCTGTCATCCAGCTGCAGCCCCAGATATTTATAAGTCCTGACCACCTCCACATCGACCCCCTCGATGGACACGGGTTGGAGATGTGGTTTCTTCCTTCTGAAGTCCACCACTGTCTCCTTGGTCTTGGAGGTTTTCAGCTGCAGACTGTTGGACCTGCACCACCCCACGAAAGAAGTAGACATCATAGAAATAAACATAAGTGTTCATTATTACATAAGATTGATTGATTGCCTTTATTTAATAAATTAACATAGAATACCCAGAGGTGCACACAGTGCTAAAATTTATCAAGATATTGCAATAAAGTCACATGACTTATTTCCAATGCGGTCCTAACACAAAAGGAAACCTTTCACTATCAGAGATTGAGTGGTATGTTTGCTTACAAATTGACTTCAGCTCTAGTTTATACCAGGACATAGACATATTGGTGGTAGCCAGTCACACAGCCAAACTCTAATCTGAGTAAAGACATTTAAGATTTAAACACATTAAAAACTTTCAGTGTGTGGAAGTTGAATTGATGTCAGACCATTTTACTAATTTAAAATTCAAGGATTTATTTGTTGCACAGTATGTGCAGTGAAATGCACGGGTGGTATACCAGAGGATGTCTTAACATCCTCTGGTGGCTTGACCTTGATGGCTTTACAAAAAGAGAAATGTGGAGTGTGTGTTTGCTTTATAGGCAATAAAGTCAAATCATGTGCCGCCTGGCGTCAAGGGTCATAAATAATTTGAAGCCATAGGTGCCCGCCATGTAATATTGAAAGCTTATTATACTCAGGACTCAGAGTTCCTTGGAATTGTATTAAATCTATACACACTCCGTACTCTAAAGACACTTCACATCACAATTACAACGTCTGTCCAACTCTCCCTCCTCTCCCTCAGGTACATCATGCGTCAGCGGGGTCAGGTGGAGGCAGCTGGCGGCCTTCAGAGCAGACCCGAACCTCCAATGCACCTGGCCGTAGTGGCCTGTGGGGAGAGGCTGGAGGAGACCCTCACCATGATCAAGTCTGCTGTGCTTTTTAGCATCAAGCGCCTCTACCTGCACATCTTCGCTGAAGACCAACTTCACGCCAGCTTCATCGAAGCTGTGAGTAGGAAATGCGTACAAAATGAATGTCTGAAAGCCAACCTGCAAATTGCATGCTGTTGACTGTGAATAACAGAGTTTGTGTCAAGCATATCTTATACAGTATATATCTCTACTAGCAATTTAATGTGTTATCTGTGTTCCAGTTGGAGTCGTGGCCTGGTTTTATTCGCTCCAGGTTCAACTACACCGTCTACTCCATCAGCTTCCCCAGTGAGAACGCAGCTGAGTGGAAGAAACTCTTCAAACCCTGCGCTTCTCAGAGGCTATTCTTACCTGTGAGTTTCCAATAGAGAGAAGACACTTCAGAGTTCTTTTTAAAGACAAAACATAACCCGAGTTAGGAAGTCAAGATCTTGCAAACTTGGAGCTCTAACTTTGAAAATATGTTCAAATCCTCCAATAAAATTTGGATTGGTAAACTGTAGAATATCAGGTTAATTTTCCTAATTTTAAAACAGGTCACCAACTTCACTTGTATTTATTGAATTATAATTAATTTATACTTCAACATCATATATATTAAATAACATAATAACTTTATATTAGTTTACCTTTGCAAAAGAAGGTGTTTTATTCTATTACCCTGAGGGGCATGCCGCTGCAGCATGCACCATTCAGAACAAACAGAGCACTATTCATCATTATTAAGTCACATCTGGCTTTTTGTCTTCTAATCTGTGTAGCTGATCCTAAAGGACGTCGACTCGATCGTGTACGTCGACTCAGACATCCTCTTCCTGCAGCCCGTAGACCGCCTGTGGGCATTCCTGTCCCAGTTTAATTCCACCCAGCTGGCCGCTATGGCCCCGGAGCACGAGGAGCCCCGAATCGCCTGGTACAACCGCTTCGCCCGCCACCCCTTCTACGGCAAGACAGGCATCAACTCAGGGGTCATGCTCATGAACATGACGAGGATGAGGAGCAGGTTCTTCAAGGTAGGAATAAAGGCACATTTTTAAGAATTTAAAAAGTAAAGGATTAGTTGGTGGCGTTTGGTTTACTGTAGTATTGTACTACTTCTATTGGCCACAAGATGTCCTCCTTCTGCTGCAGTTGTATGGCACTACAGTCTGAAAGGATTTAGTTTGATTCTTCCAGCACTTGAGAACATCCTGACACAGTAAAGGCATCTTTTTGACTGTTGTGTATACATGTCTATGTTGACAGAACGACATGACGTCTGTGGGGCTGCGTTGGGAGGAGCTCCTGATGCCTCTACTTCAGAAATACAAACTTAACATAACCTGGGGAGACCAGGATCTCCTCAATATCATTTTCCACCACAACCCTGGTAAATCTGCACTGTAACATAAACACACAATGCTTTTTAGAATCCAAAGACAAGTTGAAGCGGCATTCATTGTTACGGACAGTCCAAATGTAAATTTTTTAAAGTTAGACACTTGTCGAGGTCTACAGGATTCACTTGAGGACTGATTTGTTGACTTCAATGTTTGTGCACCTCCATTCCCAGAGTGCCTGCAGGAGTTTCTGTGCCAGTGGAATTATCGTCCAGACCACTGTATCTACGGCAGTAATTGCGCGTCAGCTGAAGAAGACGGAATCTACATACTGCATGGGAACAGAGGGGTTTACCACGACCACAAGCAGCCTGCCTTCAGGGCTGTTTACGAGGCCATACGAAAGGTGGGCATGCATTGGCAATTTCAGACGATAATCCATCTTTAGGCTTTGTGAATTCAGTCACAGTATGCAATACAGGCTTCTTTTTATGTCTGTCCAAACATGGATTTGTGCTCTGTGCAGACCAGATAAATGACAGTAAAACAGTAAAAAACAGAACACTCTACATAAAAGAGGGGGAAAAAGACAATAAAAGAGGTTGTATTAATATCAAACAGCTGATGCATCAACTGCTGAGATTTATCTGCTGTAATGTTATCAAACGTTGCTGCCAGTGCATAAAATTAACAGCACTTCCATTAATCTTTTAATAGCTTTTTTTTTTTTTTTTAAAATTGTACATTTTAGCCATATTCATCACAGACTTGTAAAAAAAAAAAGTTCTTGAAGATGTCCTTGCATTTCTGGGTGTGTTTGGCGATCTGTCTCACTTACAATGATTGAAGACCAAATGTAGTTAACAAGAAATCATAGAGATGCGTGCAGTTCGTCTACAGTTAAAATTTAATAACCACAAAATGTCAATAAACTTAAATATTAACAGAAAAAAAATATCAAAAGGTTTTAGTGTCTGCCCCTGAGGCTTCAAAGGCTTTGTCCCAGACTGTTTTAACAAGAGAGACGTAATATTGGGAAGATATTGATGGCGCAAGAAGAGTAGCAAAGGCAGCCTCATATTTCAGTCCATCACAAGTAGGGGAAGCAGCTCGCTCTTGCCTTCTTGTCATGATCACAGGTTTTGTTGCTTTACAGTTTTTGTTTCCAGCTACATGTACTGAATGCAGAATGTCAGGTAAATTCTCAAAAGGCATTTTGGGAAATAAAGTGTCTATCAGAACAGTGACTGAAAACTGCACCCTGTTAAAAGTCTTGTGTACAGTTACAAAAAAAAAAAAAAAAAAAAGAGCCTGGTGAGCCTTCTCAAAGTGTTGGTGTAATTTAGTGCAACATCTGATGAAAGGAGCCCTTTTATAACCCCTGTGACACACCTGCTCTCGTCCACTGCCGCGTTTCTTTACCCTCCAAGATGAGATTTTGGATTGGTGCTGACCCTAAACACCGTAAGTGTTAGTGACGTCAGACTGCATTGAAAGCACAAATCTCCACCATTTTCAGAAGGTTGGAGTAAAAGCTAATTTCCCCCATGAGGATGTTTATGGGTTGTTTAACACCACTGTAATGATATTGACGACACAAGTGGCATTTACTTAATGAAGCCATCAACATTGGGAGTCTCATTGCTTTCCTATTAACAAAGCATTGAACATAGATCAAAGCGATGGCTGATCCATACCGTATCCATGGCCTGCAGTTAAAACTGCAGCTTTATAGGACAGGATCAATTGCGACAGTAGACACACACACATGTACCTGTGCTGTATATGCTGCTATGAAGTCAACATAAACACTCACACAAGGGCCCACAGCATGCACTAGCACACAGTTTATCCAATAGTTTGTGTGGGTATTGATACTTTCATAGATATGTGATTAAGTCTGGTTTGCCAGGAGGGTGGAGGAGTATAGATTGATCCTCTGTGTGTTTAATCTCGCTGGACAGACCTTTTCATCCATTTCTAGCTTGTTCATCTGCAACAGAACCTCAGGCTCATCTGTGTAGTGTTATGGAGTAAATAACAGGACAATACTACATTGGCAGCTCAGTAAAAGTGCAAGGCTTCAGAAAACTGGTACAGGAAAGAACTCAAATGCACTTTTGCTCAATTTTGAAATATGATACATTATAATCCCATTTTTCTACGGGGCTTATTGCCTGCAACAAAACGCCTAATTTAATAGGCCTCTTCTTCATCTGATATTCAAGTTTGTACGAACACAAACTTCAACAGAGGGCTGTAAGGAAACCAGAGAAAATGAAAGGGAAAAACTAATCTCAATGGGCCATACAGAGAGGCACGCTAAAGAGAGAACCCTCTGGAAAAGCTCAGGCAACAGAGACAATCTGGCAAATAGGGGAGTGGTGGTTGGAGAGCACATACATACTGGGGCTGATTATATATTGGGAGCAGGTGTATAATTAGGTGACTGGTCAGGCGAGGACAGGACATTTTGACTAACATCAGCACAGGTGTTACTAATACCACTGAACAATGGCTCTGCTCTATTCAAGTGTCCCAGTAAGTCATGACAAAGTAACAGTGAGCCAGTACTACAATATCCAGAAACTGAAGCAGAAAAATGGAACTGAGCCATGTCAGAATGTCTGTGTCTATTCGCAGTGCAATATGCCGCAGTGTAGACCTTTTCAGACAGCAGACGTTTTGACATCAAATAGTTGGATCAGAATCTTAATTAGTGTAATTGTTAACACCTGTGTTTACCCCATACGCTGGACAATTACGTATTATCTTGGCCAAAATAATTGTGATACAAGATATTCATATTCATGAAAACATATCTACTAAAACATACTAAAACACAGTTTACCTCAGATTTAGTTAAGAAACACATTTATTGCGTCTCATCTCTCAATAGGCATCTCATCTCCCTGTTCTGTAGTTTGGAACATGTCCGGTTTAATGTTTTTTTGTGGGGGATAACACAGGCAAACCGAGCCTTAGGATTTTTGCTTGACTGGAAAGATACAGGCTCCCTTTTGTCCCCTTGTTGAAATTAAATCAGGAAATCAACATATGACTGCACACTGGAGAGCTGGACAGCTTTTTCAAGTCAAGCCATGCCAAAGATATTCACGATAATGGAAATGTTCTTCATTGCGATACGCGATAATGTCGTACATCGCCCCATCCCTAGATCACCCCTTATTTTGACTTTTTTTACATGATTGTTGAAATTGATATCACTTACCTGAGCTAAGGTAGCCACAAGCTCGCTTTCTGTTCACCAAAACAAAACGCCCACCCCAATACAAATAGCAAAGACGTCCTACACATCATCAAAAAGCCAATATCAAACGAAGGTAGAGTCGTGTCCACAGCAAGACAACTGATGATTATTTTCATTTAGTTAATCCCTCCTGGGTTTCAATCTATAAAATGTCACAAAATAGAGAAAAATGTCAACATGTCCCTAGGTGACTTGCTCCAAATTGTGTTGTTGTTGCACAGAAAAGTAGCAACTCCTTAGATATGAGAAGCTGGGACCAGTGGATGATTAAAATTTTTGCTTGATAAATGACTTTCATGATTAATCAATTATCAAAATTGTTGTTGTTCAGTTTCTGTTGACAAACTAATAGATTAATCAGCCCTATATCCATCTGTTGTTAATGCCATTAAGTCAATAAAAAAACACTATTAAAACTGGAGCCCTGTATCTTCACACAAAGAAATGGGAATACAAACGGCAGTGCTCCTCCCTGTCTGTCTGTCTGTCTGCCCGTCTGTGTCTCAAACAGACCACAGTGGCCTGTCTGTCATAAAGCATCTCCTCCCTCCGCTGCAAGAAGCTGAGCCCAGGAAGCAGCAGTTAAATTTTTTACAGCCGATGGTACGTTTAGAGTCGGAGCCTGCACACCAACAGTGCCCCATCAGCCACGCAAAATCAATACACCAACTGTAAATGCAACTTTATGACCGGTGGGTGTGTGCATTTGTGTGTGTGTGTGTGTGCGCGCTCGTAAAAAAACACCATTCTCTTTGTGACCCAGTATCAGGGACCCAACCGCAAGCAAATGAGCTGGCATAAAAAATGGTAATTCCCCTTTGATTTCCTCGGAGCGCTGTAAAGGCTCCTTCATTATTGGGAAGACATGAAATTTCTTCTGTAATCCCCGCTTATCACTGGACGGTAAGCCTATAGCATAAAACTGACTCCAACAACGCTGACTCCTTTATATTTTGCCCGGCTGACCGATCAGATTAGATTTGGAGTCCCATCTGAGTTCAGCATGCCTCGCGGATTTAGTTTTTAATTTATCCAGGGAAAGATATCTTTCGAGCAGAAATGCTGCCCAAAGCACCACTTTGCTTACTTACTGAGGGAATCTGATCAATTTTGCTGGAACAGGAGGGGTTGTGAGTCGTCCTCGGGGGAGTTTTGACAGCAGTTTGGGATTTCAGCTGCTCATTTCAAGTTTCCAAGCCCACTCCTCCAACCTTAAGACAACCACCACCCCCGTATTTTCCGCTTTCTGAAGAAACAGGGAGATATAGGAGAGTACAAGGCATCTTACTTGGCAACATGAGACCAGATGGATGCACAAAAGTCTCCTTCATACCACACACTTTGTCTTTATAGTCAGTAAAATTCCTTGTTTTAGCACGGTTTGTATTCTGCTCTGTTAAAGCACATTCCAAAAGTCCCTTTTCATCTCTTTGTTTAAGTGATACTATACATCACACCAAATCGATGAATTTGTTTTTTCATTCTAGTACTCCTTTGGTGCCGACCCGGTGACCTCTTTGCTGGATCCTCTGGAGGAGGAACTGTTGAAGACGACACACACTTATTGTGGTAAATCCCACCCGCTCTTCACCAGGAGACTGGCACACAGCCTGACAAACATCAACAGGAAGGCCCCGCGTGGACGGTGACAAAAATGAATCACAATGACGGGACGGAGGCCAAAAGGAGAGAGACGGTGCTTTAGCCTAACTTTTTTTTTTTTTTTTTATTACAAGCCTGGTCAGAAAAACAAGGAAGCAGTGCCGGTTGTGACTACAGCTTACTTCTAATCTTACAAGCTGAACCTCGCTGTTAAAAGCCGGGTTTGGTTTTTTTCTGACTTTGTCAAAAGAAATGGGATTTTCTTTTTTTTAAAACCAACAAGCATCTAGTCTCTTTCATGTAATAATTTTATCCTCTCAGTGCCTTTGGTGAATGTTCGTCATGGTGCAAAAGATGTTTAAAAGTTTGGAAGAGTAGCTCTTGACTTTCCATATTGGAGAATTTATTGAACCTTGTGAAACACTCTTATTAAAAGAGACAAAAATCATATCACAACTGGACAAAGGCTTCCAGCAGAGCCCTTTTTTTGAGAGAGATGTATGCACTAGACCACTTTTTCAACCTTCAGAAACTACTTTATTACCAACAAGATGGAAGAGAAGTCATTTTAGAGAAGCATGGAAAAGTAATAATTTCTGAATTCTCAACTGTGTAAAATGATTATGTGAACAGTTTCTGGAGTAGTTCTCCATATGTGATTTTCTGCAGTGGCAGAAGTTGAGTGTATGAACCCTCAGAGTACTGTCTTCCTGACTAAATGTTTGTCTTACTTGTTATTTTCACTGAGAAAAGGTCATTTTTATGTCGTATAATGTCATTCTACATTGTAGTGATGTCGGGTCATGTGACTCTACACATGTTTTAGTTAACTTTAATGAATTTCCTTATATTGTGTTGAACAGACAGGATTCATGAACTTTGCTGAATAACTGGATTCTACAGATGGGTGACAAATGAAAGAAATGGATTGGGTTCCAGAGACTAGGAGGTGTCTGTTTCCTTTATATTGTCACCCATCTGTATATACTTATGTATTTTCGTCAATATAGATGTGTGGATATGCTAAATATCCTGTTTATGAGTTTATGCTCCACAGTAGAGCCAGCATACATTGCTACTGAACAAGTGAATAAGCTACAAGTTTCTCTCCTGATGCCAAAGTATTTTGTTTTTATTACTATAATTATGGGTTTTGCACCGTTGAATGTATTTTGAACACTTAGGGTTGAAATCAAAATGTTATTATCAGTGCTTATGTTGGTATGGTTGTAATGTAAGGATATCCTTTGTGACGTGTGTACTTGTTTATATGTCATTGTGTTATAGGATTTTTTTTTTTTTACATTAAAGATTATTTCAGTTTTGATGAATTACTATTGCAGTGTGTCCTTTTTAACCACCAGAGGGCAGCATTTTTTGACATGTCCACTAGTGCTTAGAGGGTGAAAGATGTGGGAGAAATAATTAACAATGGTATATCTATAAGGAAAACAATTTAAAGAAACTAAATATAAACAGTTTGAGAGTTTTGAATTAAAAACTATGCTAAATATAATTAACTGTTAATGGCTGTGGATCAAGTAAAGGCATCTCATATAACCTTTTTCTCTTACCACTCTTACCTCTTTGCATCTTTGTTAGCTTACTCCATAAAGATCTAACTTGAAGAAGATTGATGCTTTGTTGCCATCACCTCCTCGGCCAGATCAATGGACTTGCCAATAATCTATCACTAAGCCACCAGCAGTGCTACACCATTTCTGCTTCAGCTCTGAGGTGCTCATAAAGTGTAAGTGATGGACCAATAACGCAGCCGTATAGGTGCCTTTCTGTGACACTGTATGGCATTGACTATGGGGAATGAGTTTATGCTAATTCCCATTAGGCCGGGGATGCAACCATTCATTTATGGATCCAGAGGTAGTTTGATTCATTGCACCAGAAATATGCTTCATTTATCACTATATATCCGTATGAGAGCTTATCAATTAGCTTTATTGACCTGTGTGCTTAAATGCAACATGTAACAGGCCAGCTCCCCAGGGAGAGGGAGACAATGGCTTGAATTGAGCACCCTGTTGAAAAATTCAATATCATCCATCCTGCGAGGTTTCATTTTCCTGAAACTACTTGTTTTATACGGTAATAAATAACTCTGATTTTATTTCTTTTGTGCCATCACGGCTGGAAGAGAAACTATTCAAAATAAATATGTGACCTCCAACGTTTAGAGTGGGGTCAGAGTGGGCAGAGGGGAAGATGAGGGAAAATAGGCACATAACAGAATAATTAACTGTGTGTGTGTGTGTGTGTGTGTGTGTGTGTGTGTGTGTGTGTGTGTTTGTGTTTGTGATGAAGAAAAAGAGAAATAGATTTTTTTCCAAATCCAGGTAAGGTTGCCCATTTTTCTCTATTGTCACAGGACAACACGTTGAAGAGGAGAGATGAGTGCACAGTGGGAGGACAGAGAAAAGGTTGATGGAGTGTGTTAGTGATGAAAGAAAAGAACAAGGCTGTCATAGCCAATATAGCAATTAGGGCACTTTGTTGCCTCAGAGCTCTATCTTTTGGATATTGCTTTCCTGAAAACAGCGTTGGACCTCAAAATGGAGGCATCAAAAGAAAACAGAAACAGAGAGATTGTAGAGAAACAAATATATTCCAGGCATGTACACCATTTGGTGGAAGTACAGTATAGCAGTGAATAAAATAGTGGGTTGATTATGAAGTGTATTAGGTGAAACACACACTAATATAAAGAAAAATCTCAAATGTCACAAAACCCACTGAGCTGCAAAGAGCTCTGCATGAAAAACGGAGAAACTCATTTTCTATTTCACATTTTCTTTTTAGATAAATTGAAAGCTAAAGAACCTAAAGTGGTGGATAAGTGCTGCATGAGCAACCTACCTCATCATATTTATATCTTCACTGGTCAAGGGGGCACCTTTGCTGCTAATCCACCTACACTACACTTGTCACTTGCAATAAGCAGGTGTAGGCCTCAATCATGTTATAGACCGAGACTAAAGAAATATCCTTTCATTGCTGCATTCCCTTTAACATTTATTCATTTCACTATTATGACATACTTATTTGCTGCTTGTGTCAGTATCGGAATCTGATAAGGCACATTTACTAAAAGTTCCTCCATTGGTTAAGCTTTGCTCTCCTATAACACTGTCAGACTAATAAAGGACATCACTTAAGGCTCAGCCACAAAAAGCTTCATACATCTTTTTTCACACACGCAGTAGTACTCCTAAAACCTGTAAGCAGAGGTTTCATTTAACCAGCATACGTGTGTGGCAGCACAACAAGCTGCAAACACAACATTCACATATAATCCCTTTATATGGCAAACCTGTTGGCAAACATTTAGACATCAAGCAGACCAGGAGAGACATTAAGTCCAATAGTCACTCTCATTTTAGCTGTTTTGGTCTCCATCAAGTCTTCAGGGAAAAATCTGGCTCTACAGCTGCTAAGTGCGCCTCATGTTCACCAGCTAGTCGCTAGCATTGTCTGTTGTTTGGTGCTGGGAAGGTAGTATATAGTGGGTTTATATGAGCTTCTTTTTGTTGCTGGAAATGACATTATGTGAGAGTGTGAGAGTGAACTACTGCAGTAAAGCTGTGGGCCGTAAAATCAAAACAAAGAGCCCAAAGAAGCAAAAAACTATCCATAGAGCTGAGTGGAACTGCAGGTGAAGTCGGGCAATTATTCTCTGTAAAAAAAAAAGAGAAAAAAAAGAAAAAAAAATTGATTAGTGCAGCTTTAAAAAAAATGGATTTTGGCAACTTCAGACCATCTGGAGCAAACGATGTCCTCTGGAGCCCAAAAGTGGTTGTTCTTGGCTTATTACTGGTGTATAAAACATAGTAATGAATTATTCATTTACCATTAATAAAATTAAAGGTAAGAACTCTTTATACGTAGGAACTATTTCAATATGGGCTCTGTGAGGTTTCACTGTGCTTGGAGACATGTGTCATTTATAGTGAGCGTATGCTTTGATCTAAAGTAGAATTTCCTCTTATTCGGGTGACTTGCCACATAGAAAGACAAGACCACATCTGTCCAACTCTGACAGCTTGGATCTAGCACATAACACACGGTATATAGATGCATAATGCACACATGTTCAAACACATAAAGACACACAGCCACAGTAAGCAGGTATTAAGGTTGAGAGGCATCACACACGCACACACACACTCTTATATACTATATATGACTTCTGCTCCGCACACTTGAGCACATACGTCATATGGTACTAGATTGCACAGTAGGGGGTCATTTACATGTTGTAATAGGGTCTACATATCACTGCTGTAGAAGATGAGAGAGAGACGCATAGAGTCGTTCAGGTTCTGCACAAACAGACTGTCATGTACTGCTCTTCCTATTTACATGTGTGCAACTCCAGGGTACGTTTGATGCCCAGTGGGATGGAATATGACATCTTTGCTCACTCTAGCACTGAATTTGCTTCAGTGAATCACTGGATATGTCATATGAAGAGAAAACGAGAGAGAGTGATGGGCATTTCAGCAGATTGGTTTATTTACTTCACAGCTTATTTCAGTGTGTGTCAGACTCAACACGGCAAATGCCACAATGCCAAGCCAAAGGATTTCTGTCCAGCTCTCTGTGAAATCTCGCTGCTTTCAGGGGAGCCAGCACTCAGGAATCTCCCACCTCCATCAGGCTGCATCTGCCAAATGTAGTCCTCGTCCTTGTTTATGTCCTCACTGCTTTGTATGCACATTTCTTCCTACTTTCCTTTCTTAACTAATTTGAATCCTATTTTAACCCTGCCATCTGCTGTCCTCCCTTTCTTTTTGCATTCCTAAATTCTTATCTTTTCGCATTATTCCTACAAGAAACCACCTCTGAAATCCACCTCAGTGTGTGACCCAGTTTCTTATGCCTGATTTCTTTTTTCCAGCACCCATCAGAGGGCACGCAAACTTCCAAAGACAAACCACACTGCGAATACAAAAATACCCAATATGCTCATCAAACATGCTCATATTTTTTTTATGCTGCTCAAGAAATGGCAACAGAATGCTTTCAAAGACAAATTGTGTTGCAGGAGTTCTCACCTCCAAACATTTCAATAGTGTGAGTCTGTGCCTACTTAGAAATGTTAGCCTTGGGGATATGAGCTCCTTTGCTTTGTACTAGACCGCAGGCGCACATGAGAGCCAAAACAAGGCTGCCACAGTAAGACAAACGCATCCAAGGACAATAACGGCGGCGTTACTGTCTTGTCAAGCGTGTGTGGTTGTTGAGTTACTACTTGCAACAAAATGCGATGTTCAGTAGGGGTTTTGAAGTGGATTTGAACACCTGGATTTGCTAAATATAAAAGCTAGCACTGTCAAAAGCATAGCTCCATGCTTCTCCTGAGAGTAGTAGTTACTTCTGTTTAAGAAAAAGTTCACTCTCATATCTGCGTTGTAAATAATCATCGAATTAATCACATTTTTGGACTGAAGCATGGGTATAGCAAGTTAGCGTAAAGATGGAACACGACTTTTATACTTCAGTTCTCGTATGAATGAAACAAACCAGATATATTGTCTGAAAGAGTGAGCCTTAGAGGGGCCGTTGGCCACACTGGCTCTGTCCCAGTCGGTGACAAAAAATGTAGCTGTTTCCCCCTGCTTCCACTGTTTATGCTAAGCTAACCTGGCTCCAGCTACATATTCACCGTACAGACATGTGAGTGGTATCCATATTTTCCTCTAACTCTCCGCAAGAAAGTGAACGTGTATTTCCAGAAATGTTGCATGATTCTTAAAGGTGTAATCTAAGGTAACTACGCTGCAGCAAACACAGAATGCGAACACAAAGCTACACATTTGTATGCACATGTGCACAATAAACATTCACACAGGGAATGCATACACACACATCTCAAACACACACACACACACACACACACACACACCACCCCATCTGCTCTGCCCTGTCTATAGATCCCACATAAAACTTAAAGCCGAAGGGGGGTGGGGGGCTGAGATAGGGGGGATGACATCAGAAATGAGAGTGACCATGCCGCTTTTATATCCCAATGTACCCTGACCCTCCTCCTCTTTTCCCTGCCGCATCCTCATCGTACAACAATAGATTTCCCATTACTGCTCCCCCCCTTCACTCCATCGCTCAATCACAGCCCTACAATATTTACCCCCGGGAGTGATCTGATTCAGAAAATACCTCAGCGCGTGCTCGTGTGTGTGGTCATACAATATTTGTTCATGGGTGCAAAAATGATGCTATGGAAGTATATATATATATATATGTGTGTGTGTGTGTGTGTGTGTGTGTGAGAGAGAGAGTGTGTGTCTGTGTATGAATA